TATGCGAGGGGCGTTTCATGCGAGGGGTGTTTCATGCAAGGCGTGTTGCATACAATGCATGGCGCATGCAAGGCAAGGCAGCGCACCCATCGCGGACGAGGTCGACTTCGAGGGAGAGGGTGGAGCGCACGTTGTTGTGGCAGTTGTACGCCTTGTCCGACGCACACACGTCCTGCCACACACAAGGGACGGCGTTCGAGGGAGATGATAAGGGTACGGTGGGATGAGGGGATGGGGAGACGTGAAATGATAAGGGAGGCAGTGCGAGAGGCGGGAGGTGGAGATGAGGGGCGCGCATGCACGGAGGCAGGGGGGGATGAGGGCACAAACGGACGTGCAGCACATGCATGGGATGCAGTTGAGCAGAGGGAGGTGGCGAGTGTACTGACGGGGTTCCAGTCGTTCATGTAGTCGTACGCGCCCACCTCCAGCGCCCCATCATCCGCATACCACGGCTCGCATGGGAACATGCCCGAAGCGTTCTTGTACTTGCACTCCGTCTGCCCGGAGGGGTGGAGGGGGAAGAGGCAGACGCATGGGGGTTGGGTGGGTGGGAGGGCATGCGAGCAGGAGGAAAGGTTTCAGCAGGGGAGCATGCAAAACGGGGCAAGCACAGGAGCAGAGGCTGCTGATGGCACGCTGCTGCTGAGCCTCTCTTCTTCCCTCATGGGTGCAGTGCAGCACAGCACAGTGCTTGCGTGGTGGCGCTGCACAAGAGGAAGTGTCCCAAGAGGTACAGGCATGCTGCACTTGACCGAGGCTCCCAGCGAGATGCAGAGTCGATGGCGCAAGAGCAGGTGGGGCAAGAGAAGGGGGCGGGCAGGGAGCAGAGGCAGCAGGAGCACCTTGAAGTACTTGGGGTCGACTTGGTAGAACTTGTTGAACACCAGCGCGCCCGCTGTGCTGTACGTGCCTGGGGAGGGGGGCGAGGAGGGCGCAGGGAGGAGGGGCAGAGAAAGAGGATCACGGAGGGATGAGACGCTTCATGCGAGGGGCTTGAGGGGATAGAACATGTCTGCGCGGCACACGTGGCACGTGTGGAATGGCGTAAACGTGAGGAGAGATGCATGGGGAGACGCATGGGGAGATGCATGGGGAGACGCATGGGGAGATGAAAGTAGAGATGCATGGGGGGATGAATGGGGGTGAGCGAAGGAGCAAGGGCACGCACCTGCAGGGCAAATCTGGCAGTCGTCGTGGTGCAGAATGTGACCCGCCCCGCACTTGTGGTCTGCACGCACATACACACATACACAGACGCAAGGCAGACATGCACGCAGGCACCGCACCCACAGACGGGCAGGGATGCAGTGCATGCAGGCAGCACGGGAGGTACACGCATGTGAGATGCAGCTGGGTGCATGTGGGGAGAGGAACGTACACAATGCCAGCATAGGATGTGAATTAGATGCAGCCCAGAAGGGGATAGACGGCCGGAGAGGTGTGGAGTTGGGAGGAGGGATAGAGGGGTAGAGAGGGGTACCGCAGGGAATGAAGGTGTTGGGCGGCAGAGGCACGGCTCCCCTGGCATAGGGATTGCACTCCTTGTCGAAGTAGTAGATCACCTGCATACACAGTCAGCACAGCACCACCACCCCCACACCCCACACACACCACATCCCCCCACCACCACACACACACAGCACAGCACACAGAAGCAGGAAGGCATGAAAACGGGTGGAAACAGCTCATCCTTCCACTGCCCTGCCTACAGCATCGTCCCCAATGAAATCCCTTCCCACTCACCTGCATGTGAGGCACGTGCAGGCGTGGCTCACCTCGACGGCGGGCATAACGGAGAGCTTCTGGCCGGTGATGGAGTCGCGGATGTAGTCACACGTGCCGTAGATGGACTTTATGTCCGCCTCCCCGCATGGGCGCGATGAGCTGATGCCTGCCACATGCAGGGGAGGGGGGAATGGGGGATGGTGGTGAGGTGAGCCTGTTGCTTTCCGACATGGCTAGGGGCAATGGTGGCGATTCTGGACAAGGGCGCAGCACAAGGGCGAAGAGGACGCGCTTGGGGGGGGAAGGTGGGGAGGAGGGGATAAGGTTGGGTGAGTGAGGGAGGCCAACAGGAGCAGATAAGGGGTATGAAACACGTGGTAGTTGATGGTTATGTATGACTGAGATGGGGATGGGCGAGATGACAGGTATGGCGGGGCGAGCAGGGAAGGTGGGGCGGGCAGGGAGGGGGCTTACTGCAGTAGACGGGGTCGACGACGATTTGAGGGAGGCCGCCACCACTGGGCGAGTCACAGTCTGCACACACACGCAAGGCGATCGTGAGGACCGTGCATGCCCGCACACGCATGGTGATAATCCATGCACGTCCGTGCATGCATGGTGATAGTGCATGACCGTGCATCCAATGCAGGCCGTGATTGGTAAGGGGAAGAGGTGGAGCATGAGAGAAAGTGGATGGGGAAGAGGAAGAATATAGGAAACATAACAGTCACTTCTAAAGAAGTCATATGCAACTGCATCAATAGACTCGCTCTCATGCGCACTCACTCTCACATGCACACCAACTCGCACGCGCATCAGTCTCACACAAACACTCACTGGTGCCAATGTACGAGAGGTAGCACTGGCCGCCATTCTCCGAGTACTTTGGCTCGTAGTCCTCCGGTGTGCATACTGGTGGAGGGTTGCACACACGGACGGCCAATTGGCTCAACGGAGGAGTATCAAGCAAGGGAACGCTGGGAGCGTATGGCACAAGCAGGAGTGAGCATTACATGGTTCAACGCAAGCTCCACGACCACCGTCATCACGCGCACCACATGATCGTGCGGCCCATGCATGTTCCATGCCATGTGGGTCCACCTAGCATGGTTTACACGCACAGCATGTGTCCACGCAACGACATGGGTGCTCACCGCATGGTTCGTTGCGCATGGGGATGTCAGGGAATGCGTCGGTGCAGTTGCGCACTTTGACGTAGTTCACTTCGCGCTTGCCGTCTGCCACACATCCCATGCGACATACGATTGGAATTGAAGTTACATGTTGAACGAATTGAAGAAACGAGTCAACGGGATTCACAAGACATGTGAATGGGAAAGAAATATAAATATAATTAAAATTGAAAGACACGTGAGTGCGATTGTAACTGTTGAATAAAAACGAAATCATTGTGTTAGCATTTTTATGGCATTCAAGTGAGTGCAATTGACCACGCGAATACCGTGCGACATGCTGCAAGCCTCATGGCCAGCACGCGAAAGCCATTGATCTCCTAGCCCCACGAGGCCCTCCGTCATTCGCGACACGAGGTTATTGTCCGCCCTTCAAGCACGGGCGCGCGTTTTCTGTTTGCGCAATAGGGCGTCCGCAGTCCACGCCCTGCCCCTCTCCGCGGATCGCATCGTCTCACCTTGGCAGCGCTTCGACATTCTGACGTAATCCGTCAGGCCGCACGTCGTGGGCAGCTCGTCGCCCACCACCGACCCCACCACGCCCACGTCCTCGATGCGCGCACTCGCGTTCGCCGCGGGAGGCGGTTCCGCGAACGGCACCGGCTGATACGGCGGAGGCGACGGCGGAGGCGGAACCTCCGGATCGCCCCACTGCTGATCCGCCGGTGCCTCGCTCGGCCCGCCTGGATTCGCCTGCACGGCGCCCTGCGAAGTTTGGCTGCCCGGCACCGGCTGGTACCCGAGATTTTGCCCGCGCCCTTCCTCCCACGGCAAATTGCCGCCCAGCGGGTCCGAATGGTTGCCGCTTCGCTCCGGGAACGGCAGCCCCCCCTCCATCCATGGCGGCCGCTGACCCGGCTGCCATGGCGTCGGCCGGCCGTCCTGCGGCTGCGGGTATGATGGTGTCGGTTCTGTAGTGACCTGCGCGCGATTGCCGGGTAGACTACAAAGAGTAGTAAATAGCGCGAATAGAACACATGCCGGTTTACTTCTAATGAAGCATCGGCGCGTCGCCATCGTCATGCAGAAAATTCAGAAAGAAGTTGCTGGATCCAATCAATACAGCTGGAAAACAGCCCGTATCCCCGTAAACGACGTGTAAACACCAACTGGTGCCAAAATCGCTTTCAGCAAAAGAGCAAACATTAGAGCCAGCTCCTAGGTAAAAGTGGGATCTTGGACCATCTCGCTACAATAACCGGCAATACCGAAACATTGGAGCGAAAAACGAGGAAATGGCATCACGGTGAGAGAAGAATTGGTTGGGATTGACGGAACGGAGGGGATGGAAGGGAGTGATGGGGGCTGGTCAGGTTGGGTAGAAGAAACGACACCGACCAACGGCAGCGCTGATTGCTGCTGCAAGGTGCGGTGGATGTGGTGTGACTCGTTTGAAAGAATCTTGAACGGAATTTCGATGCCGATGCAATATATACGATGAAGTACAGTAATCGAACCGGCGAAGTAGCACTTGTTATTTTCGTTCCAAGTAGGGGAGTGCTAACTGCAACTGTGGTGTCTCCGTTTCGAAGCAGGCTATAATGGAGAAGGCGGCCAAGGTGTTCCGACCGCGAGCTGACGCACGTCAGAAGCTGATTGTCAGCTCTGGTTTTACAGCACCAAGAAAACGGACCTGCACTCACCCACTTGCCAAACGTACCTTCCCGTCATCTGTTCGTCCAAACCCAATCTCGAAACTCCCTCGCCCGTCGATTTTCACAGACTTGACGAAACCAGGGCTCTGTATTCCCAAGGCTGGTTCACCTCTTGCGGTCTGGTGGTCCGCACTGCGCCTCCCTCCCATACAACCTTGCCATGCCAACCAAAACCAGTGCTCGGAGGGTATCACTTCACTCGTCCTGCGCTGGTTGAGCGCAGTGTTTGTGAAGACCAGTTGAGGACAGAACAGATCACTAACTCGCTGACTTCAATCTAGCTAGAGCTGTCCACCAGTCATCCCGCCATGTCTTAGCGCAAGGGCGTTTATGTTCTGTCCTTTAAAAGACACCTGTACAGTAGAAGATATCGAGTAGGCTTTTGTCAGTTCACAGTGCGGTGTGCTTCTTAGACCTAATCGCAATGCCGGTCGCGGAGAGCAGTCGACTTTACGCACCAACGCGTTCCTCTCTCGCTAAGGCACGCGCTGTCAGTCCACCCTCGCAGCGGCGCCTCTCCCCCGCAGGCAGCAACGGAAATGGGGCGCAGGGTTCCGAGCCACGTGCTGGTTCAGCCCGATCTTCGTCCCCCAATAGAACCGCTGCACCCGCAGGCAACGGGCTCGCGCGAGCAAGCGGAGCAAGGAGCAGGGAGGGTCAGCGCGTTGAGGTCTCAGCAGAGACGCGGAGGTGGTCCGTAGGGAGCGGTACTTCGCGCCTACCATCCCCCTCATCTCCCCCTACCTCCCCGCGGTTCACTCGACGCAGGGATACCTCCTCCCCGCCTTCCTCCCCCGGCCTCGGACCCGGTCGGCCGTCCCGGCGAACGGACCACGCCCGAGTTGGCGGACACGTGGCACTGGGGAGGCAGGGGCTAGCGGTGATGCAGGGACGGTGGCTGTCGGATTCAAGCTCAAGCGTTTCGGTGCTGGGAGTGGTGGAGGAGCAAGGGGGGGACGCGGGCGAGGGGTCGCGACAAGGATCGGTAGACGCTTTCGAGGCGATGAGCAACAGCAGCCAGATCAGCGACTCCGGTAGCTACAGCGGCTCCGCGCCCACCGCCGCGCGGAACGGTCATGTCTACTCCACGGACGCCGCGAGGCAGAGCCGTTTGGATCTTGAGCCGCGCCACGGCGGGCAAGCAGCTAGACTAGCCACCCCTGCTGATGTGGACAGGTATCACGAGAGCGGTCGGCAGTTGGGGCAAATGTTACGGGGGGCCGCGGGGCCGGCGCGCATTGTCAGCCCCGCGGAACGCGCCGTAGCTGCGGAACTTGCGACATTGGCGGATTCCGTCACGGACGCAGACGTGTATGCGCCGTCCCCCGCCGCAGCCGCGCTTATGTCCGCAACGGACGGGCTCTTCTCCGCCGCGTCCGCTTACGCCTCCGCCTCTGTTCCCCCGCCCCCTGGCGCGCCTTCACCAACACCCCTCTACAGTCTCTCCGCGCATCAGCCTGTCTCATCCTCCCCGTGGCCCCCGACGGTTGTTGCGCTTGCGCGTCCACCTGAGGCGGGGCTGGGCGGACTTTATGTAAGGGCGCGGTTGGGGCGCACCCTGGGGTACGGGAGCGCGGGCGGAGGGGGGGAGGCCGGGGGGAGGTGGGCTACAATGGAGTCGAGCATTGAGGGGCAGGGGCGGGAGAGGCAGCATCAGCAGCAGCAGCAGCCAACGAAGGACGCCAAGGAGCTGGCACGGTCGCTGCTGCTGCAGCTGTCGGGCGGCAGAAAGGCGCCGCTGGGGGGAGGCGCGCCGCAGGTCATTGCGGTGCGCGATCGGAGTGGAGGGGAGGCGGCGCAACGGGACTCCGGAGCCTCGGGAATGCCGGCTGCAGTCCGCGGGGATGGCATGAGCGGGCAGCGGCAAGGGGTGGAGGGGGCGACGAGTGCATTCCCGGGTCGAGGGGCCGTGACCGGCAGGGAGGAGGAGCAGGGAGAAGTTGACTCGATTATGACTCAGCGAGGTGCTTATAACGAGAAGCAACGCGGTGACACTGAGAGGACGGGCGGTGGCGTGATGGGCGGTGCGAGTTTCGACGATGACGTGATGGTGATGGCGGGCGAGGACGAACAGCACGAGGAGAAGGCCGCGTGGAGGCAGCCGTGGTCGCAGCGACGACTGCAGCAGGATGACGTGCCGCCGTCGCCGCCGCCGCTGCAGCAACAGCAACAGGAGCAGCAGCAGCAGGAGGAGGAAGAAAGGATGGAGCATGAGTTGCAGGAGCATTTGCAGAAGCAAATATCATTGCAGCAGCAGATCGACTTGCAGCAGCAGGAGGAGGAGCGATCAGAGGAGGCGGAAGCAGAGAGTACGGAGGAGGAACGGGAGGAGCGGCTTGAGCGTATGCGAGCAGAGGAGCAGGCGGTGCAGCAGAGGCAGCAGAAGCTGCCATCGCAGCCGAGTCTATTCCAGCAGCAGCAGGGGCAGCAGCAGGGGGCGGCGGGGGGCAGCCCAGTGTCGACTCTGGATGTGGCGCTGAGCAAGGGGTCCCCCTCAACCGATGCAGGTGAGGAGGAGGGCGGGCTCGCCTTGCACGCGCGCATGCACGCACTCGCCGACGCCCACGCCCACTGGCTCGCCGCGGATGCCAGCCAAATAGAGGACCTGCAAGCTGAAGAGGACATGGCGAAGCATGGCGGTGCAGAGGCAGAGGCAGAAGCCTGCGGGGAAGCAGAGCGCGTGTGGGGCGATGAGCCTTGCGTGCCCGCCCAACAGGCGCTGCCCCTCTTGCACACACAAGGTGCCTGCCTTGCTGCCTCTTTCTGTGCCGTGGGGCTGTCACTGCACCACTCCTGCCATGTTGTGCCATGTGTCTCTCTTATATGTCAGCTGGTGCCATGTGTCGCTGCATTGTGCATAGATGGATGGACCTCCTAGCATCATGCTTCCTATCATCACATGGAGTGACCCTTTCCATTCACTATCCTCCTGCTGTGCCCTGAATTTGCTCCTCATAACATCTTGTTCCTCTCTCTCCTCTCCTCCCAATCTCCACTCGCTGTGCAGGAGACAAGGCACCCGACTCGTCCCTGCTCGCACCAGCAAACCCTCCTCCTGCCCCTCCTCTCACCACCGCCGTCACCCCCGCAGCAGGACCTCTCCAGCCGCCCCTCTCAGCGCCCCCGCCTGCTCTCCCCCTGCCACCACTGGAGTCGCTAAGCACAGTGGACCTGGGAACACTCGCCTTTGTGCCGTCACCAGCGGGCATGGAGGAGGACCTCGAGTGCATCCGCTACGTGCTCGTTGCTGCTGGCTTCGCCAACCGCTCTCTCCCCCCTGCGGCGTCTCCAGCTGCGCCCATCAGTGCGGCGGTGTTTGAAGTGCTGGAGGCGGAGTTCCTGTCGCTGGATGGCATCATTGTTGACCCCGCCAACCCCCTGGGGCCTGTCACGGGGCAAGCAGCATCAGGAGGCAAGGCAGGAGGTCCAAACGCATCATCGCCAGAAGCAACAGCAGATGGGTTGTCGGAGAGTGAGAGCCTGCCATCAGATGCAGCGCCGGCCTTCTCCTCACCAGCTCTCCCTGCCAATTACCCTGATGAGCGGCGGCAGCGCCGCCTCCTCTTTGACGCTGTGAACGAAGCTCTCGGCCGCCGCCTCGTGCCTTTCCTCCTGCCCTCCCAACCGTGGCAGCACCTGCATGCCGCCTGGTCTGCACCCCTACGGAAACGGCCAGCTGGGCGGCGGCTGCTGCAGGAGGTGTGGGCAGAGATCCACTCGTGGGCTGTGCCCATGTCTGATGACGTGTTTGACACCCTGGATGACCTGGCACGAAGGGACTTGTGGAAGGGAGTGGACACGTGGATTAACATGGATAAGGCTGTGGATGATGAGGTGCCAGATGTTGTGTTTCAACTGGAGGAGGTGCTGATGGGCGAGTTGATTGGGGAGATGTGTGCGGATTGGATGGAGATAGGGAGGAGAAAGCAGAGAGGGAGAGATGGAATGCTTGAGTTGATGGATGGAGGAAAGCACCATGGTGGAGGGAGTGATGTGTTTATAGCAGGAAAGGATGGAGGCAAGGCAGGTGTGGTGGCCGTGGAAGAGGAGAGTGGTTCGGCAAGAGGGTCACCGGTTGGCAGTGGAAGCAGGTCTCTACGGTGGCTGAGGCTTGGGAGATGAGTGATTTGAACTGACGTTTTACACCAGTCCTAACACCATCGCTGAGCTAGAGTAATCTAGCCATGCACTGGATCTGATTTGTGATAATAACTTCGTCAATGCGTGCAAGCTTTCCTACACACCCCTTTTGTTGCACCTGGTCCTGATTCAAATGCTTGTATTCAATGCAGTTTGCATTTTCCTTGATTTTGTACCGAATACATGGAGCTTTGCCATTGCTTGAATTAGTTCTGCAGTTTACATCTACAGCACGCAATTTTCGTGATTCGTGATTCAGCTGTGTTCCGCTCTGTGCACTTCTCACGGCATTGCCGCTTGTTTGCTCGCATGCTTTCACCCCTGCCACGACAACTCCAAGGTTATCCCGCCCTAGTTACACAAGCAGCGCACCTGCCGGCAGCTCAGACGACACCATTCTTCCTGGACAGACACGCCACAGACCTTGACCTGACACCCGCTTGGGTAACCTCCGTCGCTATTTTATCGTACTAGGTGGTGTGTAGGCGACTCCGCTTTTCGACCCCCGAAAATGGCTGCCACCGCCTCGGCGATTGCCGCGTCTAGACCAGATGGTTACTTGATAGCCATGATCGCAGATGAGGTAGGGCGAACTTGGATCAGCGATCCCTCACTCTAATGCTCGCGTCGTTCTTCTCACCGAGTTCGTGTAGGTGGGTAGAAGACCACGATAAATGACATATTCCTCACATTATTCCGTCAAATGCGCAGGACACGATAACCGGATTTCTGCTGGCCGGAGTGGGCCACATGGACGTGCGGCGACGGAAGAACTATCTCGTCGTCGACTCCAGTGAGCTCTTCGCGACTGGCCCTGAGTCTGTATTTTTCAGGTTATCTTCGATTTGGCGCTGATCAGGAGGTTTTCTGCTCGTGTGTTTTCAGAGACCCCTGTGCGACAGATCGAGGAGTCGTTTAAAGAGTTCAGCAACAGGGAGGACGTCGCCGTCATTCTTATCAGCCAATATGTGGGTCGCCTCGATCATCATTCAACAGGGAGCTGCAGTCTGAATTACGTTCATCTTGCTTTTTGATCATATTTAGCCTCGTTCTCGCCATTAAAGCCTTGTTCCTGTGCCGTGCAGATCGCCAACATGATTAGGTACAGCATCGACAGCTACAACAAGCCCATACCAGCCGTGTTGGAGATCCCCAGCAAGGAGCACCCGTACGACCCCAACCAGGACTCCATTCTCTCGCGCGTCAAGCACATGTTTGCCTCCTCTGAGTCCGTTTCTGACTCCAGGGTCTGACACGCCCCGCGCACGCTCACACGCTCACGGCCATCTTCAAATCGTTCCCTTATTACCAAGCTCGTTCAAGCTCCTGCCTGATTCCGGTTTGCTCTCTGCACTCTCCACAGCCTGTCCCTGTACGCATGCTGTGTGCAGGTTGGTTGCCCATACCACACTAGAAGTTTCATATTCAATAGTTGTGTAGCTTATTGGTTTGTTTCCTTAACAGATGCAGACGACAGTGATACATGACAAAGCTGTATCAAGCATATGGTGCCCCAAGTCACTACATTGATGAAGCCTGTACACTTTCACCACAGAGCAAGTCACCACCACCAAATCATTCCAGCTAGGAGTTATCAAATATTTCAGCTCCTTGGCATGAGGCATGCAGAAGGAGTGGCGTGGGACATGTCTCACGTCACATGTCAGGTGTGGCCTCCTCTGTGACAATAGTGAGTGTGACTGTCTTCCCATGTGCCCTCTTGACAACGAGGGGCACCTTCACGCCCACCTTATCTCCCAGCAAGTCCAGCACCTGGCGGGAAGAGGTCACTGGCTGCCCTGCAAACTCCACTATCACATCACCTGGCTGTAACCCACCCCTGGCTGCAGGCGACCCAGGAATCACCTGAGGGGGGTGGGAGAAGAGCAAAAGAAAAGACAGAGTGAGATGGTCAAGAGGAAACAAGGCAGCAGCACAAGCAACGCAGGGCTACACTACGAAGGACATCCAGCAGTGTTGGTCTGGTCTGACTGGCCAAGAGTTGCATCACAGACATGGACCCGAGAGCTCACACGCCACCTGAGCCCACGTGGCCCCATAACAGCAAGTCACCTGGGGGACGAGAATGCCGGCATCGACCGGGGGGAAGGAGGGGTCTCTGTCCCTCAGCTGTGCTGCAATGGAGGCGTTGAGCTCCAACATCTTGATGCCCACGAATGGCCGCACCACTCTCCTGCACTTGGGGTTGAGACGAGAGGGGGAGGGATGGGAAAGGGGGAACGACAAGAGGAGAAAGACGGCAAGCTGACCCAGTCTGTTCCACCTCTCCTGTCCCCCATGCGACCTCTGCTTTCTTACTCAACATGCCCTTCCTCTCGCGCATCCAAATCTAATCATAAACTGCAGTCAATAGGGATGGTGGAACAGACCCTTCTGTTGCTGTGCCCCCATGCCCCTTGCCCCCTCTGTTCTCCTCGAATGCAATTTTCTACCCCCCTCTGTTCACCAGTGCCACTCACCCATGGCGGGAGAGCTGGTCCAGGATGTGAACCGCGGAGTCGATGGGGATGGCGAAGCTGACCCCATCAGCTGCCAGCGCCTTCATGTTGTTGATGCCCACCACCTCCCCGTCCAGATTCACCAGCGGCCCCCCGCTGTTGCCCTGCTCCCCCATGCGTGACACGCACACACGCGCCGTTCATGGTTTGTGAGGACGGATTTACCAGCAGGCAAAGGTGCGCGGATACAGATGGATGGTAATGGCATGACCCGGGACAGCATCTTATGGTGTGGAAGCATCTCACATGAGATGGCGTGGCAGAGACTGTTGTGCATGTGTGCGTGGGGTTGCTGCTGTGCATGTTCACACCGCATTGATGGCTGCATCTGTATGAATGTAATCCATTCGACCTCCCCTCAGCCCCAGCTCTGTGCCCTTGCGATCCACACAACTGCACGCCACCGTGGGAGGGCGGAAGAGGAACAGCAGGAACAAGGTTCACGACATGCCACAGGTAACACTGTGAAAGACTATCTGCCCCTACTCTGGCCATAAAACGCTCATTCACGTCACCCAACAAAAACACCTGAGATGGCCACCTGATGCTTGTATGCTGCCAGCATGATTACAGCCTGGACCTGACTGCATGTTCAACCACCAGCAGCACCTGAAGCCCCAGCCAGCAGCACCTGAGGGCGCAGGCAGCACCTGAAGCCCCAGCCAGCATGTGAAGGCGCATTCAGCAGCAGTGAAGGGGTGCGCCCACCTGACGATGCCGGCAGTGACGGTGTTGGAGAGGTGCAGAGGCGAGCCCAATGCCACCACCCAGTCCCCCGGCGCAGTGCCTTGGACGACCCCAGCTTCACCACCGGCAGCGGTGACGGTGCTGACACCTGTGTTGGGCAGTGTGGCGGGTGAGAAGAGGAAAGGAGAGGAGAGGAGAGGAGAGGCAGGCAGCAAGGGTGGACAGCCACTCGAAGAGCACAGAAATTGGATTCGAGTAGCAAGGAGCAAAGTGATGTCAGCGTGGTGGAGAAGAGTGATGGGGGCAGCACAAGAGGCATCGCAAGGTGTTGGCCTACAGGTGTGGAAGCAGGAGAAAGGAGAGTGGTGAGACAGGTGGGTGAGGGCAAGAGCACGTGTTTTAGCACCTTGACGAGGGCGATGTCAGAGAGAGAGACAAAGCTCAGCACGTGGCCGTCAAACGTGCGTCCGTCCTGCAGCGTCACCTGCAGCTGTTATGGGGGGCGACCGGAGGGGCAGGGCAGGCAGTAGTTGGCACGAGCATCAGCCAACAAGTCACCAGGACGCAGAAGTGAGTGTTTGCACTATAAACTTTGGAGCTAAGTTGGGTAAGGGGGGGTGTTGGTCAATGGAGCAGAGAGAAAAGTGACAAAGGATCAGGTGGCAGTCAGGCTACACAGCCACAGTAGCTTGCGTTACCCTCGTCCTAGGGCCCTCACCATGCCCCCAGCGGCCTCACCATGCCCCTAGCGCCCCTCACCATGCCCCCAGCGCCCCCCACCCAGCGCCCCTCCCCCCCACCCCCCGTTGGCGCCCTGACCGTGGCGCGGGAGCTCCAGTAGGGCGCAGAGGAGGCGGAGGGGTCGACCATCTCCGCCACCACGTGCGCGTTGGTGAGAATGAGCCCGTCCGCCCTGATTATGGCCCCCGACCCCATCGCCTGCCCGCTGAACATGCCCCGCCCTGATGGGGAGGGGGGTGAAGGGGTGGGGAGGACGGGAGGGGGAGAGGAAAAAGGTGCAGGGGAATGTGACTGGCGACGGATACATGATGGCGCACTCTTGTGGGACGCACATGCATGAACGCACGCATACATGAAAGCATGCATCCACGCATTCGCCCCTTCCCCCCACCCCCCACCTCTCCCCCCTCCCCCTCCCCCCCTCCAACACACACACTCACGCGGATTCACACTGTCCACGCACCCACACTGACTGTCAGGTTGACCACAGCAGGCGCTGCCCTTGCAGCCGCGTCAGCAATGGCATGTCGAGACAAACAATTCCGCCCACACGTCCCACCACCACTACTACTTTCATCCCCTTTCTCCCTCGCATCCGCCTCCCCATGCCCCGTCCCTGCCATTCCCCCTTCTTCACTCCCCCCCTGTTTCCCACTCTCAACTGCCTTCGTCCACTCTCCTTCCCCATCCTTAGGCCCTTTTCCCCTTCCCCCCTGCGCCTCCGTCTTTCCCCCAGGTTCCCCTTCCCCCGGGAGCAGCCGTTTAATCCCCTCAACCACGCTGCGGGGCGCGGAAAGGGATCCATGCGGGGGAGGTGCGGGCAGAGGCGGGGAGTCGGGGCCGGGGAAGGGGATAGAGGCATCGGCGGTGAGAACCAGCCGCGGAATAACTCTTGAACGAGGCGAGGCTATAGCTTCAAGCGGAGATAACGGCAGGGAGGCATGGGTGGAATCTGCGGCGGCGGAGTCACGCGACTCGTAGTGGGGGAAGGCGGAAAACGGACCAGCGGATCGCGCGTGATGGGCGGATGGGAGCGGGGAGGGCGCATGAGGCGAATGAAGCGCAGTTGCCGCAGTCGCTCCGCCTGCCAGTGCGCCGACGAGAGCAGGAAGGAACCACGAGAAACGGCGCGACGATGATGAGGAAGGTTTAACGGGAGTCGCTGGCGTAATTGATTGGTGCAATCTCCGAATTCCCGTTTCCGCAGCTTGGAGCGGAGCTCGGAGTTCCGCGGCTGCCCCGGCCAGCAATCCCTGCGCAGAGGAAACCCGCTTGACGTCACCGACTCGCCGCGACATGCACCGTGCGAGCAGGTATGACGTCATGGCTCGAGAAACGAGATAGCCACCGCAATTGGCGCTGGAAACGTCGGTCACATTACACCTGAAAGCGGGCGCATTGCGAAAGCCCAGTTATCGATCCACACAGCATCGAGCACGTCATTAACACGCCATGCTTCGTTAGTGAACTTTGACTTACTTCCTTATAACTGGTGAACTTTATACAATCATACGAATCAGTTTCCACTGGTCAGTGGGAAATCACATTTGCCCTCGTTAGTGTACTGTCAATGAAATCGGGTTGTTGTACATGAAAACATGTGGTAGCCTAAGGAAGCGGAAATATCTTGCTTCGCCTCGCCTGCGAGCGAGTCGGCGAGGTAGCAATCGGCGCCATCACATCACACCTCCCTTCTCGAAAACCTTCATTTACTGCGGATGATTGTATGGAAGCGTCCATCACGTGATCAGCACGCTGGTCCCAACGAATCAGTGATCTCGGCAGGCCCAAAGATCCGCCAGGCTGGATAGTGTGCAGCATAGTAGCAAGCCCTTGCAACAATTACAAGTACCCCAACGTTTTTGTCCATCCAACAGTGGTCTCAACTCTACTGTGTGCGGTGTAGTCTAGACTGGACTAAGTGCCTGCCATTTGCAGGGCGATACTGGCAGGGCAGCCGCAAAACAGACTGCGTTTGTGCTGGCAGAACCCCATCCGCTGTGAACCTGCAGAAATGCTGGCGTTTCTGGCAGAGGTGTTTGTCCTTCAAGATTCGTCCTAAATTCAATCGAATCGGTCGATGAACCATGTGATAAACCCATGCGTTATCATTAATCCGCAACCGTTCCGGGATTCCTACGAATGCCATTGGCGAAAGCGAGTCTTACAGACGCTGAGAAAATGATTCGGTTTTCCCAGCCATTCAGCTGTCTTTTCACGCGCGTGACAAGAAAAGAGTGTGAATCCTAGCTCCAAGATCAAAACAACTGTGCACTAATCTGAGTCTATAGTTATCATAGTACTTG